ACAGCCCATGCTCTGCTCTGGGTGCCTTCCACTCACATCAGGAAAAGTTGAAGAACAAATAAGCAGCCTGTTATCATGCTCTGTAATTTCCAGACCTTCCTTTTTGCTCCCAGCTCTGTTTCCATCCCAAGGCTCAGAAATCCCAAGGCAGCAGCTCACTAAGGGCTGCAGGCCACAGCCTCAGTCAAACTGAGCCATGACCCCTCTGCTGCTGCAGGCTGTCAACTCTGTAATCTCCACATCTCAGAGGAAGCTCAAAGGCAGATTCGGAGCCCAGGGTTCACCTCTTTCAGAGCCTGAACGACTCTTTTCTGTGTATGACAACAAACTGGATGACAACTCGGCAAAGCAAAGGCTTCAGCTTACAAATAAAGAGCCAGAATGAAACGACAAGACTTGGTATCACAGAGCTGCACTCTGAAGACAGAACAAACATCACCAAGAGCACAGCTACAACCAGCCCAAAAGAATCCTGTTTGGATGAGATCCTGCAGATGCTTTTTCCTCCAACACCAGCAAGTTACTGCAGTCTCAGGAAGGAATTCTGTGAGTTTTGCTGTGAAGGATCTTAATTTTTAACTGTTTAAATAATGCACCAATTTACAATCATTAAACTAATTTCCCTCACCCTTTCAAACTCTTTTTCACTGCCAAGAACATGGATTTCATTAATGTCATCTTTACAACTTAGGACAAAACACTGTGATGGTATCAGATTTTCCCGCTCTTTAAAATATTCATTAAGCCCAATTATGCACACTGATAATTCATGCAACTTGTCCTTTTCCTAATCCATAAAAATGTTTTTTTCCTAGCCTGCTAAGCTGCATCAATGAATATGTATCTTGTTAATCATTTTCCAAACTAACTACAAAAAAAAAATCCAAATTAATCAACAATAGATAAGCTGAGGAAGAAGACAGAGGGGGAAAGGAGACAAATGTATTCAGGCTGGAGGTTACAACCAACCTGGGAGCTGCAAAATGATGCCAGCAGCAATTACTTGGAATTAACATCCTATAAAATAATACCCTTTAAAGAAGGAGAGTGTTAACAGCAATATGTTAAAGCACTGCAAGCATCTCCCACAGCTCTCCAGGCTGTTCTCTACAGTTTAGTTTCAGGTCTACTATGAGAAAGAACCAGAGAAACATGGAATAAACAACTTGGGAGTTAACACGAAACTCTCTGTGCACTGATAGTTTTTGGAGGAATCTCTGACTGCATCCAATGAAAGAAGAAATTCCCTACATCCCTTCACACTTCCCATGCAATTTGAAGACTGTTTGGTGACACTTAGTCACTCACATTGACTCTTCATCAGTGTCGGTATAAAATAACCTCATTATTTCATTCCTCTCTATGTAATTACTGTGACAGGTGAAACCTCATTGCAAATGGGAGAACTTAGTGAGGAAAACAATATTGTCACCATTAAACCTTCTATCCTGTCAATATTCAGCCAGAAACAGTAGCAACTGATAGCAAAATAACCTCTTCTGACTACAGCTTTAATCTTTACCTCCTTCAAACTCAGAGTGTTTAACAGTACAACATAACCAGCAGCAGAAAGGAACAGGAAACTCTTTAACAAAGGGGAAAAAAGGCTTTACCCTCTCCTCCAGCCGAGCCAGTTGCTCTTTGTAGTAGGCATCATGTTTCCTCAGCTCTCTGTCCTTCTCTTCCAGCTGCTTGGCCTGAGAAAAGAAACAGAAGGACAAAAGTGGATGAAGAGTAGAGCTCCACCTGCAAAGGAAAGCTGGGCTGGAAATGACATCCCTAAGGAATACACAGTGCTGGGGAACTGCAGCTCTTAGGCATCAAGAAATGCTGAGTGTGGCACTGAAAATGAGCAGAGATTGCCTGTTGTACTGGGATTCTTCCTTCCTCTCTCTGGGCCAGGGTTTGTCCAAGTGGATCTGGAAGCATCAGGAAGACAGAGCCAAGCGCAGCAAGCTGAGACTGAGCTGTAGTTTATCTGTTTTATATTCACTTTGCAGATCTCAACTTGGGGAAACTTGCTCAAAACCACTGAAAAAAACCCATATGCAGAGGCTTAATATTTCACTTTATAACCTGGTCCTGAGTGAACATTTTGATGTGAAAAAGCTGAGCCTGAATCCACAGATTTGTAGGCAGCAGTAAGAGGAATTTTTTTGACGTAGCTGTTTTTTCTTTCAAACCCCAATTCAGGAATACATTTAGATTTGCTTAATTCCAAACATCTGAATGCTTGGAAAGACCCAAATCCTTATGTATCTACCACAAAGGACTCTGCTGTGCTCTTCAGGTAGGAATCTTCCTCTGGAAACTCCTAGATTGGTTGGAGCAGCCCCCGAGGAAGCTGAAACCCTTTGCCATGGGATCACTCCCACGTCCAGTGACTTCAAATAACACAGAATCACTGTGATCATTTATCTTTTCAGTACCACTATGACCTGAGTGTTCATTTCACAGACAGTCTCCAGCAAAATGACATTTTTTTTGCTTTTCATGAGTAGTCTGTCCCAATATCTACTACTAAAGGGACCCATTAAGAATGATAAAAGACATTTTAAGAGCACATGAGACAGAAAACACACAGAGCTGTTAAGTCCTCCAGAGGAAACACCAGACAAGTGATTTTGAACAAGCTCTGGAAGATTTAACACCTAAATCATCAAATTAATTCCAAGCTCATAATGTCTTACTCATAAAATATCTTTAGTGACTAATAATCCTCTACCACTTGTTGTTACCACAATGAAACCACGAACTGTGGTAGTTGTGTAACAGATACAGAACTTCACTCTCTTAGTCAAGATTGGGGTGTTTTGGTTTATTTTTTGAGTAAAATAGCAAAAAATACAACTAAAACTTCAGATGTTTGGTTGCTCACTACTTACCTGAATTTCTATATCCTGAAGCATGTAAATAAATCAAAAAAATGAAATTTATTATATGATGATGAATAGAATGAGCCAAACCAAACCCACATGCAGGTCAGAGGTATTTGAAAATGACTTGGGAATTGTTGGGGTTTGACCAAAAATACCTCAAAAAGCCAAACTGGAATTCTACTTGGATGAACCAAACAGTTATTCAGCATTTCACAGACTGGTTTGGGTTGGAAAGGACCTTCAAGATCACCTAGTCCAACCCCCTGCAACCAGCAGGGAAACCTTCAACGAGACCAGGCTGCTCAGAGCCCTGTCTAGAATATTTCCAGGGATGTGATGTCCACTAAATTCCTCTGCCCAGAAACCTCATGGCAGGAGAATCCATTTACCCATGTACACTCATGTCTGCATGTTGATCAGACCAAAAAGGTTTGGTACTCACACATATATATATATATATATAAAACTATAACGATTCAGATTAGATGCTAGGAAAAAAATTTTCCCTGTGAGGGTGTTGAGGCACTAGGATAGGGAATTGCCCAGGGAGGTGGTGGAGTCACCATCCCTGGAGGTGTTTCAGGGGTGTCTGGATGTGGCACTGGAGGATCTAGTTTAGTGTTTAGGGGTTCCAGCAGTGACAGGTTGAGGGTTGAACTTGATGATCTCAGAGATCTCCTCCAGCCTTGATGATCGTCTGACTCTACAGAACAATATACTACAATCTTCATCCACTGCATAAAGTGTCCCAATAAAAATAATCCTCAATTCCCACATTTAATACATGTTGAATTGCATCACTTTAAATTTTAACCTTCTATTCCAACATATAAATCCACACATCAAACTGAATGGGCAACAGGAGGAACTCGTGGAACATATGTTTCTCCCTTCCCCCTCTCAGAATTCCTTTTTCAAGCTCTCACTATTGACAAAATCATTACTAACCACGAGAAATCATCTGGACACATCACTTGAAAAGGAAAGATGTTAATTTCCACTTGTAGAGGTAGAGAATAGTCAGGAATTAGAAACGGCAGCAACAATAATGCCTGGGAAAAAGGAGTCTCTGACAGCTGGAATTAAAACAAGCTTTTGTAATTACCAGGAAATGTGCTACAGTACAGCTTCTAAAAATAATGAAGTCCTAAAAGAATGAGGAGTGCAGATAAAACGATCACATTGAGAGGAGCTAATGGAGAAAATTGAATTGATGAACAAGTGAAGGATTTGGTCTCTAACAGAACACGTGACGTGAAGCTTCATTTACTAAATGTAGTTACAGACCAAAGCAGAGAAAAGCAAATGTACACTGTGCCAGACAAAGGAGCTGTGGATTTGCATTCCTAACGTGAGCCACAGGAATAGGCAACTAAACCCACAGGAACATCCCTCTCCATCAAGACACATGTTGTTGCCCCAGCAAAAAGAACTTCTATTACTATGTCACAATAAAAAGCTAAACGAGGAAAATCACAGAACTGTTAAGGTTGGAAAAGACCTCTGAGACCGTCAAGTCCAACACGTGACCCATCACCACTGTGACCCCTAAACCAGATCACCCAGCACCAGATCTAGACACCTCTCAAACAGCCCCAGGGATGGTGATTACCCCACCTCCCTGGGCAACCTATTCCAGTGCCTCAACACCCTAACAGGGTCAACTAAGGCCACAAGAGGTATGTCAAGTCATCCAGTTGGGTTTGGAACCCTCCCAGCCTGGAGACTGTCTTCTCTCTGCAGGGTCTCCCAGTCTCTCTTGGGTTTGGAACCCTCCCAGCCTGGAGGCTGTCTTCTCTCTGCAGGGTCTCCCAGCCTCTGTGTGTAGGGACAGGGCTCTTCTGAGCCACTAATCACTTGAGAGGACACTCCAGGTTCCTTCCAGCCTGACATATTTCATGATCCCACACCCAAAACTAGGGGCAGAAAAATGCACAATGAACCAAGTGACTAGAAATGACCAATTATAGAATCCCAGAATGGCTTGGGTTGGAAGGACCTTCAAGAGAACCTAGTTCCCCCCCCCTGCCATGGGCGGGGACACGTTCACCTAGCCCAGGGTGCTCCAAGCCCTGTCCAACCTGTCCCTGTACAATATGAGCACTATGAGAAAACTGCCACTGCTCACCAAACTCTGCTCCTCTCTGACTGAACCATCTCCTTTGTTCCATTTAAAAACCAACAGATCCTGAAGAAATTAGTCCTTGAAAACAAAAATTACAACACATCCATGACTATTCTATTGATCAGCAACATGCAGAAAGGCCTCATGTTTCCAGCTATCCATAGTTCAAAGAGAAGAGATGATAAACAAATCTGTGTTACATATACTCATGTCACTGGGAATGAAAGAAAGACATGAGCTATTCCTGAAACTCTATCCTTGCTTTTCACTGAACCAACACAGTCCAAGAAGATCAAACATTTTAAAGACTATCTGTACTGCTGCCAGGTATTTGTAGCAATTCAAATATTGTCCATAACCACTTCTGCCAGCTTTGGATGTTTCACTCATATGTCACATGTAGAGTTTTCCACTAATCTGAAAGCAGCATTGACTTTTCTTTAGGACCCAGAGTGGATTTCTCCATATAAAACCAGAGCAAGAGGACTATTATCCTGCAAAATTCAGGAAAAAACTGCCAGCAAATAGATTTAGGATTATGTTTTACTTCCACCTTTGTTGCTATACTTTGTAGTAAGTCATAAATATTCGTGTTTGGAGTTGATCTAATGTTGACTTCACAGAAGTACTTGGAAGTTCCTGGACTGAACAACAGAAGGATCAAGAAAAGGTATGACCAAGGACTGTGAGGCAATATTTGGTGTATTTTAAAACAAAATGTGTATATACACAGTGGAATAGTCCTCAGAGATACTGCACAAGATGCAATGAAAACTCAACAACTCACTGAAGCCTCTTCAAAGTCAATCTCAGTTGATGGCATCGAAAACTTCCTGTGTCCTCCTTATTAGAGCTCTCCCAGTGGCAGGGACTGTTCTCCAGGGTTATTTTCCACCTGTGAATATCCTGCTGATTGTCTCAAATGATCAAAACTCTACAGCAATTGATATCATTTCCTTCCACCACACGTTGCATCATTGGCTGTGGCTGCTCAATCTCTTATCCAGGGAACCAATTTCCACTGAAGGAAAACCTGATGATGCCCAAGTAGGTACATCCACTTTTGAATACCAAATCAGAGACATTTATTGCTCCTCAGCTATTCAGGGTATTGATTTCTGGTTAAGACACAGAATTGAGTTGCTCGTAACTCCATCAGATGCTTCTCAATTTGGGAGACACAAGATATAAGCAGCACCTTCAGTTCTGGATGCTCAAGAAGGCACTGCTTGAAAAATACAGATTATCTCTTGTCTTCAAGCTGTTTTGTCTCTATCTTTTGGGAATTAGATCTGGTTAAATTGAACTTTTCTCTAAAGAAACCATCAAAACTCATTAGTTCTGTCCCAAATTTTGTTTACCATTATTCCCAGAGATTTTCCTATTCAGCCTATTCTTTGAAAACTCAGTTCAAGCCAATGAGACATTCCCTTGGCAACGCTGAGGTTAAATCCCTAAATATTTCACTGTTAAGACATATGCCCGTGTGAAAAATCAGGTTGGATTTGAGTTATCACTTCTGTTTTCAATTATCTACTGTTTTACAGTTCTTTATTATCAGGCTGAATAGGAAAATCTCTGGGAATAATGGCAAACAATTCAAAGGAGAATTCATAGTTGTTTTCATTGTGCCCCTACAACAGTTAACTAAGTGTGAAAATCCTCAGTGATAAGTTCATACCACACAGTTGCT